TCTCCCGGCATATTTTGCACTGCGAAATTTATATTTTTCGATGAACGACCGGGCTTTATGCATAACTGCTTGCACGTTGGAGGTTCTTTTACTGCCGTATGCAAAAAACAAACTAACGCCCCGTTAATTTTGTACGCGAGGAGAAAAACACAACCAACATCAGTCAACATGCTAAACTATAATCCCTGCTGTTATATGAACCATACCTGCTGTTATATGAGCTGACTGCTGCAAGATAAGTGCAAAAACGCATGGCTGTACCGACAAGCGCAGCACATTGCAGCCTGAACTTTTCTTCATTTCCACCTCCGTTTTAATGTTCCTCTTCCCTTCCAGTAGGTTCCCTCTTGGTGCCCATGCCCTTCCTCATATGTTTAGGCCTTCTTCATCTTTTGAGGTATCAGGCTTTTGCCTCTTTTCGCTTTTGGTCTTCCATGTTTCGTTCCCCCTCCTCCCTTCGCTTTCCAAAATCGCACTGCAACAGCCATGCTGGTGAACCTAACTGCAGTGCCGAGATAAGAAGTTCAGGACTTAATGAACCGAAACGTCTTATCATTTTCTTGGCCTTAATCTCTTGAGCTCCTTGTCTTCTTTCTCTCTCCGTCCATTTCAGCTCTGCCACAGCGTCTTATATGTAAATAATTTGATCAGAAATGCATAAAACTTCGAAAGAAGTGCACTATTCGAAATTACCTATGCGTGGTCCTGTGATCCTCTCGGGATAGGACTTTTTTCTATGTCTTGTGCCGCGAACCAAGCCAAGAATTCTTGTAATTTTCTTGTTGCTGGCCACGAAATACCGGCCACCATGGTATTCAAACCCATCACTGCCCTGCATCTCCGGCGAGTTCAGCAGCGATTTCATGTCAGCAAACCCATACGCACTTGGCTCCAGAGGCTTGTGGTACACCAAACTGAAAATAATTACACATTTGAAGACTTTCCCTTAATTCTCAAGGATTCAGTTTAATTTCCCAACTTTCAATTTACATACTTACCAAACATGACAAATGCCACAGTGTGGCGGTAACAACATAGTGACTGTTTAGAACACAAACCAAAATAATAAATGCAAATGACAGGGAGAAGCTGCACAGAAGAGATGCTATGAGGGGTGAGAAAACCATTCACTGACAGTGCACTACAATATCCTTTAACAAGACATAATAAATATAGCGCACGGGCTGAAGAAACTGCTAGTAGGAACTACCAAGAAATTACCAACTCGACAATGCAAAATTCCCAAGCCGTCTTTTAAGTTAAAAATCAAAAGTCTCTCTCTGTTTAAGTAAAGCCT